TGTTTTGAATATAAAATAGTATTAACAATAAAAGTATCAAACAAGGAAATGACTGATTTTAAATATTTTTTTACAACGTCTGAAAGCATATCGCTGTCTTTGATAAAATTAACGTTGACTTTTATTCAAATAGGTGCGTAATTATACATACATAGTTTCATTATATGATTTTAATTATTATTATTTACGTATGCTATATCTATATACATATTTTAACGTTCGATGTAAAGTTATGTTAAATTAGGGATACTTTTGAAATACACGAAATTCAAGGAATTTATAGATTATTTTGTACAATACAATAATTCATTCCACACCTATGATAAAACGCTAACATCCAAATTTAAGCGTCATGTGAAATGAATTGTTATTGATACGAGCTTTCAAAGGGCCAAGAATGTTAACAATCTCTTAACGCAAGAACCTGACGCTAGTCTCCGTTGGAAACGCGCTTAAAACGACGCAATAACGCTCAAACTCTTGATAATCATTTGTTAAAATTATCTTCCGCGTCTAAAATAGCATAAAAGATTGAAATTCATAGATCCTTATTTACATCCCTGATACCTCAGACAGAGAATACCAATTATCCAACGTCTTAATAATTTTATTAAAATAATTTTCGCAAATACAAATGTTACGAGAAAATTAATAAATAATGAATTACGAAAAATAAAGAGAAACAAGGTCACTATAATTTTTTCTTGAAAAAAAGAGAAAAATTGACATACGAGTTTGTTTAAAACCGTAATAATTTCCTAATTAAAATACCTAACATCTTCGATGTATAACATTAACATTTTTTCGATATTTCTAAAATCGGGAAATATTTAATTATCAATTATATTATATCGACTGAGAATCATATGTATATATGTATATCTTTCCGAGTTAAGGTCATCGCAAATTAAATATCGACGTTTCCAAAATCGAGGTAACCGTGTTAGAAATTTCTTTCCAGACGTCTGCAGAAAATCTAGTAAGAACGGTTGCCAAAACGCGTACCAAGTATTCCCGTGTGTCTAATATACACAAGAACGCTTTCTTCGGCGCAACAGATATATAAACCCAATTCGTCTCGTACGTCTATTCTTACGTTCATAAGGTTATTTACACTCAGTGTCTGACACCATTTTGGTAGCAAGGCACAGTACTCGGGCCAAACGGGGCTACTCCTTCGATAAGCACGTAAAAGCGCCACGGAAGAAACGAAGCGACACAATTGCTCGCAACGCAGTTCACCTTGACCGGAAGCTAATTGAGAAGTTAGCATCGACGCGGAATGCGCTCACTAGAAGATTGTGAAAGTCCAATTAACTAATGTTAGCAGTGGTACGTGAAAACTACTTTGAAGGAGTTATCGTCTATAATTATTCGCCCATGCGAAAACACACGCGACGATATAACGGTAAAGAGTTCGATGCACGATCTCGCGTTTCGAAAACCGCGAAACAGCGGCGGCACTGCCGCGCGATATCGTGTAACGTAAAGAAACACACTGCACTGACTACTACTACGTAACGCGTAGTATGTCCGATAATTGTAACGCTAGTACACACTTGATCGCGTATACGCATGATTTAGTACGCATTATTTATATCAGCGAACCCCTTGAAATGTATAAATTGCACGGAGAATGTCGTGTCAAATATATTTTTCAGATATGATTTCGATAACTTACCGATTTCGTTCGATTATTGGACCAGTGATGACACATTTGACATATCCACCACGCCACACTTGATATCTCTGTGAAACTTTCACTGTGAACTCGCGAATGTGACGACGATTAATAATTATAAAAACTACGACGAAAACGATACCGACCGTTCGAAAGACCGTAAGGAACTGGCCAGTGGCCGCGACCCCACCACGCGGTACACCGTCGTCGAGGATGCCAACAAATGTAAACATCGCTACAGCTGATCATCATGACATATATATATATATATATATATATATGTGTATGTGCGTAAGTACATATTTTAGTGGTTTGCCGCCCCCGCTTCGACTAATCGTGTCTGCACGTGTGTATTGTAGCTTCGTAATCATACTATATAGATTAAATTAAATTATACGTGTTTTTTTGTAACTTTATTACTTTATAACATAATGTTATTATATTAAATCAGTAAATAATAACAATAAACTTTAATTGCTAGTATACGATATTATTATGACTTATGATACTGTCGGAAACATTTGCTATTAATGAATTAGAATTTTAGATAGCTTTACATTTAAATAAGTTTTGCGCCATTTTATGCCTTTGTGATGTATCAACGACTAATCGATCCAGGAATTAGTTAAGAAATTCATTGAACAAATCGGTTAAATCTATAAACTGCAGATTGAAATGATTATAAGTGCTGAAATCAACAATATAAAGTAAGAGGCAACAGTTTTTTAATGGAAAATCTTTATTGGGAAATTAATTATGTTTTGTTTAAATTATGAATAATATATATGCACGTAAAACTTAACAAATGTTAAGTATTTACTATATTCTTTTTACTATTTGCAAAATTTAAAAATATTATGTGTAATAATGATTAAAAAAATGAGTTTAATACATAAAGAATGTTAAAAGATCAAAAGAATATAAAATTTAAATTTATTATAAAATATATTATTGTTATCAATTGTGAAATATAATAATTATTCTCTAATTATTCTATAATTACGTATCTATTATTAAACTATTATTTATATCAAAATATTCTCAGATTTGCATGTTTTTAATCATATTTAGTATCTTAATTCATTAACCCTAAACAATGTTGGATTATTGATATATTTCATACAAAACTATAATATAATATAATTTATATGAAACTTCTAACTAACAATTAAGCAAAGTGAATTTATTTGATATTTTTACCTATAATTGTTGTTTATTTTTATCAAATTTCTTCCAAAATATATTCCTTTATTAATTCTATTACTTCTGATGACATGTGCACATTAAAAATATATTAATATTGTACTTATGATGAACTAGAGTTACATATATACAATATATATTATTACATAAAATTATGGATAATATATTATAATTAATATACATATATTTGTATATTCATGTAGTATTATTAAATACTTATGAATATTAACAATTTTATCTTTTTTTCTAATTTAATCACTATTCAACGAAATTAATATGTAGGTAATAAATAAATGAGGATTCATGATAGTCCAAGATTTATACAAAAATGCAATTAAAATAAAAATATAGACAAATTTATATATTACATGTTATCTATTATAAGATGATATATCTAAATATAGTGCCACATTTACTAGTAACTTATGTCATGTTAATAAATCATAATACAAATATACCTTAATTTTTCCCATTAATATTAGTTATGACATGAAAACTTTTCATAGGAAATATATAAATTAATAATTTGTATTTGAGATTCTTATATTAGCATCTTTTAATTACAAGAAATAATGTACAACTGATACATTAGCCATGAAAAATATACATATATACATATTTAAGTGTATTTATATATTTTAAGTCCGTATTATTTACTAAATATTATTTTACTATTGGTAATCATATCATTTATAATCTTTATACACAGTAAGATTACACTACCAACTGTTTGTTGCGTATATTAGTATATGAGTGTACAATTTGCATTGATTGCAAATTTGCAGCTCATTACACATTGTATAATATTAATTTAAAATATATGTTTTTACACAAGATATTAATATTACTACTAAATGTGCGCAAATTTATAATTACAAAATTTATTTCATATCACAGTTTAAATAATAGTATATTTTCAGTATTTTTGAGTTCACTATATTTGATTTGATACGAGCAATATTAAAATGGTTGAAAATTATCAGTATTAACTTTAATAATCCAACAATCATCAATAATTAACTATAAATAAATGTGTAATCACCTAAATTATAATTACTAACTGTTATAAACTTTCAAGGAACTAATATTTATCAAAAACAAAGTGACAGCAAATTAAAATAAAACAAAGAAGTTTGAAATAACATGTCAGTTTCATTATGCTTTTGTTTTGTTTCAGACCAACAAAGCAGTTTTTTCTTACTGATAGTTTAAAACGAGAAGTTTGAGGGAATGTAAATAATACTGGTTTTATATTTTCATGGCTTAAGTTGAAGAAATTTTTTTTCATAATAAAATTGACATACTTGAAAATTTATCTGCATTCAAAATAAGTATAAATTATTTAATGCTCCAAATAATTAGTTATGAGAAATATGCAAAGTGTATTAAGTACATGTCCTTTTTACATAGCATTATATGTATACATATATTACTTTAATAATGTGTCAAAAGATATTTTCAGTTATTTAACCAAACTTTAGTTTTTAATAATTATAAATTATGAATGGTGTTATTTAAAAAATCACAATCTGTTATCACAATAACATGCTAATCATTATTACCTTTATCAATTTTGCTATGATCAAAAAAGTAATAAGTACCTAAAATTAAATTATAAACCTAAAGTTTACTTTTTGTAAAAATAAAACTATTTTTCAACCGTACATTGTTACAGTAACACTAAATTGATATATAATTTACGTTATTAACAAAACTGCATTATTATATCACTTTCTTTCACAATTTAGTTAAGTAATAGGCAAAACATATCTTTGGAATTGTATAATAAAAAAGTAAAATATTTTGTAAAATTAAAGTTCTAAAATTTTTTAAAATTCATATGGAAATAATTTTTTAAAGATTTGTAACTATAAATCATACTAAACAAACAAATAAATTCTACTTTTTTATTCATATAATTTAAATTAATACAAATTCTTTTTTGCCCTAATGAAATTATAGAATTATAACAGAATATAGACACAACTATAAAAAATATATTTCACAAGTGGGAAATATTCATTACTTATAGTAAATTTGATATTAATTCTATAATATATATTTTAAAGTATATCAAAATATTTTCTTTCCTATTATACAAAAACCTGAAGTGCTATGAATGTTAAAAATCTATTAAAGAAATGAAAATTTTACTAATAAGTATTTGATGATATTTGATAATCATCTATATTTTTTTGAAGTGGTTCAATACCCATAGTCCACACTAATGATGAATCTGTATTTACAGTGACTTCAGAACTATTGTCATATGTATTCGATGAACTAACCAGATCACCAAATTTTAAAGTTGTATTGTCTGAAAGGTCAAACATTTTTCTTATAAAAAATTTCAATATATAGTAGTAAACTGATTAAAACATAGATCAATATGTACTCAAATTCCATTTTAAACCAGTTGTTATTATACAATTAACAGGTGCACCAATTGGTAACAGTCCACACCAACTACTATTTTGTACCAAAATTTTAGGAATGATTATGCTATGAAAACCTGGTCTTAAAATCCATGTCAATGAATTATTTGCAATTTGTATTATCTAATTAATAAATAAAATTTTATAAATAGAATTGAATATTTTAAAATAAAGATAAAATATGAATAAATACAAAACAATTACTTGCACATTTTTAATAAGTTCATCACTTTTATAAAGTGTATTAATATTTCCCATAATATGATCAAATCTCCCTGATGAGTCTGCAAATACGTATATTCCATTCAGCTGTCAACAATAATTCTCTTATTATTAAATGAAATTAATTTGAAGAAGTCTTGTGAAACATACAATATTACCTTTATATCCTTCTTTTCAGCATAATGTCTCAACTCGATCAAAGCTTTTACATAATCTGTATGATTCTGATCAGGTGTCTCAATAATCATAGAACCCATACTCTTTAACTGTTCAAGGATTAAACCAGAACAACTATCCATATCGCCAGTAATTAAAGTTGGGACATATTCGTTATTATGTTCATTTAATAAATCAATACCTTGCTTTTTTAAGTATTGTATCCATCTGAATGTTCCACCATCAACAGTAACCTTAACTTCAGCTAAATAATATACATATCTCTGAATACATCATATTCCACAAAAATTGTCAATATGGCAACCTCTTTAATTATTATTTTACTGCTTTTAAATAAAGAAAACATACCCTTTTTCCAAATTTGAAGTAAAGAATTATTTTTCCAATCAAGTGGACTATTTAATATAACAACAGCATATTTATATTGTATACAACAATTAAATATTTGAAGAGGATCCCACACTGTTTTATTCAAACTTGGGTCACATTGCATAACTGACTTTGGCATATGTTTTTTTAAAACTAAAAAAATGTATATAAAATTAGGTTATGTAATATTACTTGAAGACACGTCACTTTGATTATTGAAATACTGTTAAAATATTCAACATTTGATGTAATTTTGAAAGAACTAAGGAAAAGTTGGATTGAACGTTTACTATTTTTGTTATATCTTACGTAATAATTGTTGGACTCTATTCACGATGAAACTCAACTTACACGATGAATTCAAAATAGTACTTTTAAAATTACACATATTTTATATATATATATATATTATATTTAAAATAATAATAATAACTCTATTTTATATGAAAATTCAAATGCATATCATTTGTAAGACTATACATATGTAAGACTATGTGCTTCGTTTCATTGAAAATATATGTTTGAATCTTTAAAGCAAATTTCTTCCAAATTTCCTTAACATTTTTTATCTTATATACGATACAAATTTTGTTCAATAGCTGTTTTAATATATTAAATTGTTAAAAATATGAATTCGAATAAAGCAACATTAATCCATCCATTTAATAAATGTAGCATGCTCTTAGGATCATGTTCGTATTACTGTCATATTAAATACGCGTATGGAATCAAACAAAAATTATACAATAAGTTTGTAAATAGCACTACTGAAGTAGAATATTATGTTTCAAATATTTAAGTATTTCATTGAACAAATTGAATGAATACCATAATTTGACTTGCTATACATATACGTTTTTATTATAACCTTATAAAATAATATCAGAACATCATGTCATCTAAAATTTGGATTTGGAAAAATGTTCCCGGTATTACTGGTCGGTGTAACGACGTAATTTATTCACATCCAATATTACAATCAAATCAGGATATTCTTTTATATTTTGGAGGTGATGTTCAGGTATACAAAATGTTATTTACAATGATAACTTCATGTAGCATGAAAAGTATGCTATAGTATTCAAGCATATTTTAATTATAGGACATTGAAGCAAACATGAAAAGAACTTCAAGTAGCAAAAAGTATATTGAATGGAGTTTAGAAAATACTGCTAAAATACTTACTATAAACTTTCCTAAAAAGCATGTCCTTTTAATTCGACCATCTAGGTGATATTTATAAACTACGTCAAGAATAATATACCTGATTTTTATTATTACGAGTTTCATTTATTTTCACGAGTTTCATATTATTTTAGAATAAATGGAACAATAAGCTGTTTTGATAATTTTGTACCATCAAATATATATGGTGTACCATCATTTGATCCAACACATAATGCTTTAAAACATTTAAAAGAATTAATTAAATCATCTTTAAGTCATATAAAAGCATGTAATGCAGGAAAGGTAACATGTTTAATTGTATCATATACATAATATTATAAATGATGATTTTTAATTGAAATAAATATATATAACGTTTAGGAACTTACTCATTTTAATATTGAGACAGCAAAACTAACATTAGTAGGTTTTAGTAAAGGTTGTGTAGTTTTAAATCAATTACTACATGAGTTTCATTATTATCAAAATAAATTAGAACCTGATATTGACATTAATCATTTTATAAATCTCATTGAAAGTATGTGGTGGTTGGATGGTGGACATGCAGGTTCTAAGGATACATGGATTATAGAAAAATCTATTCTAGAATCTTTTGCAAAATTAAGTAATATGATTTATTAAGCATGAAATCTTAGCAATACATTTGCTAAAATTTGTATTAACTTCAGGTAAAAAAATGAATATCATTTTAGGAATAGAAGTTCATGTTCACGTTACACCATATCAAGTTCAAGATCCTCATCGTCGATGGATAGGTGAAGAGGAAAGCCACTTCTGTAATATTTTGAAAAATATAGGGGTTCCTATAAATCGAACTTTACATTTTGCAGATAAGCCAAGAAGTTTACAACATCATTTTAATGTTCTTACAGCTATTAGAAATTAAACACAATAATGTGATATGTATCTCATTTATAATGATAATATTAAATAAAAAATAGATGCGATGATTTTTGTGTTCCATTTCATTAATTGATGATATTAAAATATATACACCTTTTAATTACAGTATTACATTACATACGAAATTTCTTTACAGTAAAACCACTATTATTCGAATTAATTATAAAATACCAACTTTATACTTTGATATGTAAATATATATATTATAAATTATATAGTTTTTGCATAAATTATATTTCTTTTTAATTCAATATATATGTACATTAAGTACATTAAGGTAAATATTGATAATAGAGGTTCAACTGTGTATTGTATATCATATATGTATATTGTATATAATATGATTTATTATAAAATCATGTTATAATCTTGGTTTTTACATAATAAATCAATGTGTTATTTTTAAAACATGTTTTATACTATATCAAATGATAGATTATTCATATCTTAACTAAACAATAGTTCTACTGAATTTTTAGATACCTTTATAGCAAATAATCCTTCCTTAATTATATAGCGTTACATAGAAATTTCAGGAAAAGATAAAAACATAACTTTGATACAATATAAAATTTTATATACAATATAGAATTATTAATTTAGATAAAAATCCATATAAAATAAATATTTTATAGATGTTCAAAACATTCAAATTGTTTATACTTCATTAAAAACTTTACTAGCATTTATTTTGACATTTGGTATGATAATAAACTATATTTCCAGATTCTGAAACAAATTATTATTAGATAAGATAAGACAATATTTAAAAAAATTTGTATATATATTTATATTCATAAAAACATTTACCATTATTTGAATGTGATAATTTAATTTCTGCCCATTCATCAGATCCATCGCAACAATCACAATATCCATCATTAACTTTATACGATGGTATTTTTACTGAGATTTATTTGAAAGTATTTGTAATATTATTAAAAGAAAAAAAATGTACAATATATAAAATATGAATTATTAAATACCTATAAATTGTGAAGATGAATGTTCACAATTAAAAACACCATTGTTACATGCATTGGTACCAGGTTCATCACTACCATCCAAAGGGCAATCACAATAGTTATCGTTAATTTTAAAAAAGTCTATTTCATTTTTTGAAGCAAAACAAACAAATTTTCCTCGTACATTTGGCAGGTAGTTTAAAATATCTTCTTCACGCGTACCGCGTAACGATACAGTTCGACCTTCTTTATCACGAAAAAGTTTTGAATGTGATGGTTCATTCCACTTTGAACTCACTTTATCAGTAGTAATATAATTAGATGTTCGTACAGATTCATTAATTAATTTTCCTACGATTGATTGATTAAGTTCTCTGAAGTAAAATAACTGATGAATAACGAAAATAATAGCAGCTATGGAGACATAAATTAATGTATATTTTAATTTTTTCCGCAAAAATCGACGTTTCCAAGATATTATAGTTTTCATATTACAGATTCTCTATAATTATTTAGTAGTTAATAGTTGGAAGTAATTTATTTCACGACAGAAATTTTTTTTTAATATTAATCATAAAGTTTACTTAATTTTTTTAAACATTTGTTAAATATATTTTGTAACGGGATTATATAAAATATATAACTTTTTTATTCAATAAGATCACATTGCACTTTATTTACAAACAATATGTAGTTAATTCTGTTTCCTTTGAACATAGTGAGTTAATCTGTATTATAAGCTTGTTATACAAATGAAGTTATCTGCAATTTATCGATAAGTCCAATTATCGAAACAACAGTTCGAATTTAGTATCAAAAGGTTAATGCTACCGCAATTCAAGATGATTTAATTACTGTGTTTATTATTCTTAACAACAATGGCAGTAGTGTTAATGAGTTTTGATGAAAATAAACAAATTTTTTAAAAATACAAATATTTTAAAAGGATATATTATGATTAATTGACAAACTGAAAATCATAGTTTACTGTTAATTTAAGTTTCGCATTTATTATTATAAACAATTTAATATATTTTTTAATATTATAAAAATGTATCCCGGTAAAGAGTGAAGTATAATT